CCTGGGCTACCAAGTGAGCTCCAGGAAAGGCGCAAAGCTACGCAGAGAAACCCTGTCTCGAAAAACCAAAAAAAAAAAAAAAAAAAAAAAAAAATTAAAATTATATATTTTGCCTATTTAGCTACTTTATAATAAACATAAATAGCATAATAAATGGCATATGTAAAAGAAGAAACCAAAGTTTTAACATCATTGTTTTCTTTTGGTAATCATTGTATTGATTTATTTTTTTTAAAAGATTTTTTTTTTAATTTTTATTTTTTCCATATGAGTGCTTTGCCTGCATGTATTATGTGCATCACATGTGTGCCTGGTGCATGTAGGCCAGAAGGAGTCAAATCCCCTGGAATCATAGTTATGATCTGCCATGTCCATGAATGAACCTGGTGCTTTTAGGAGCTAGCTTGCCAGCCCTGTTGGTTGGTTTTCCTTGTTCTTATTTTCTAAAGCACAAGGGAGTTGTAGTGGGCATTGTAATTCATATGTAAATCTTCAGTTCCACAGAGCTCCCCTTCTGTCTGTATTTATTAAATGGTTAGGCTCAGGGAAAGGAATTGATTGTAAAAGGAAATTGAGAATTATGGCCTGGACTGGGAATTGTAACTCAGTCGGTTGAGTGCTTGCCTGGCATGAAGAAGCCCTGAGTTTGATCTTCAGTACCATTTAAAACCAGGTGTGGTAATACACACTGTGATCCTGGCAGTCCAGAGGTAGAGGCAGGAGGATCAGCAGCTCAAGGTCATCTTAACTAAGCTATATAGTGAGGAAGAAACTGGGGACTGATTTGCATCTTAGTCTCTTTAGCTCTTTGAAGTTTCTTGGGCTCCCCTCTTTCTCTTTAACCCACTAGCACTTTTTATTGATAAAAATAGATTTTATAATCTATCCAGAAGTTGATTGACACCACTTTCCTGGCTGCCGGCCTAAGTTGCCATTGTCTCACCTGAATTACAGCAGTAGTCTCCTAACTTGTTTCCTTCTATACCCCCTGATCAGTACAGCGTCCAGGTCATCCTTTGAAATGAGTGGAGTTCAGTTTGTAGAGTGCTTGCCTAGTGTGCCCAAAACTCTTGGGTTTGATCCTCAGCACTTTATAAAATCAGATGTAGTGGTATGTGCCCAGCACTTGGAAGGTGGAGGTAGGAGGATGAGAAGTTCATGGATATCCTTGGCTGCATAGCAAGTCCTAGGTTAGTCTATGCTACATATGTATGTGTATGTGACTGTGAGTGCTTGTGCATGTGAGAAAAGGAGAATGGGATCGGGAGAGCCCTACTCTTAGTTCTGCTACTAATTCTTTTTCCCTTCTCTTATGTCACTTACCTTTTAAGTTTGCTATTATATGACAAAGAAGGAGGGCCAGATGGCTGAATTCATCATAAATATAAAATTGCTTGCTAAAGGACACTGGTATTTTAAGTTTCTTAATTTGCTTTGTGTGTAAGACAAGGAGTGGTTTTTCATTGGCTGGCAGGCTGAAGAGAATGTGAGTTGTTAAACAAATTCTATTTTAAAGAATGTATTGTTTGAATTTCAGTTTTGAAACAAAGCTATGTCAGATATTTTCAGACCTCAATGCTACTTACCGTACAATTCAAGGCCATTTACAATCTGAAAATTTTAAGGTATGTATATTTTATTGTTTTTGCCCTGATGTGTCAAATAGAGGAGGAGGGCTATAAAAGAATGTCAGACAAATATAATATTCAAGACTTGGATCTTTTAGAAATTACTCTTAAAATTCTTTAAATATTGTGTTGTCAGATAGTTTTTAGTTTTATGTTAATTATTTAGATACTTTTATTTTAAAATTTTTCTTTCATGATTTATTAGTTTTAATTATGTGTATGTGTCTCTGTGTGGGTATATGCACATGTGTGTGGGTTCTTAGCTAGGCCAGAGGTGTAGGATCCCCCTGGACTCAGAGTTACAGGGAATTGTAAACCAACTGATGTAGGTGCTGGGAGCTGAACTCAGGTCCTCAGAACACATTCAGAAGGCCATTTGTTTTATAATGGTATATGCAATTTGTCTGGATTAGGAACATGCATTTTGATTATTCATGGTTGTTTAGAAAGTATCTTCAGGGCATTGATAGCTCAGTTGATACAGTAGGTGGTTGTGATGTGAGGCCTACTGTGGCTTGGGGCCTGGAGTGCCGTCTGAGCCTGTGTTTGCTGAGGTACCATGCTTGAGCTGGAGGGCAGCAGCCAGCCACATCCTCCGGAGTCTTGGGGTGACCAAAGTTTTGGCCTGTATCCCCTCCCCAGAAAATGGGAAGATTGAGTAGATTTAGTGGCCGCCTTCCATAGAATGCCACAGAGGAGAAAGGCCCCACTGTACCCTAGTGTGAAGTGGGTCATTACGAAAGCAGAGGGCCATCTGAGACAGTTCTTCACAGCTGGGACCAGGTACAGAACTTGATAGAAATAGAGTTGACATCACTGGTTTCCTAGTTTGCAGATGGGTGCTTCAAGGTGACCACTGCTAGCTTAATAATAGTGGGAGCACGAAGGTGGCTTAAAAATGTCCTTGATAATGGTTTGAAAATTTGGTCTTCAGAAGTTGTGTGGAAAATTTAAAATTTCTTGGAATATGGGGAGTGCTGGACACTGTTATTGTTTAAATCATGAATGCACATTTAAGACAGGCAGCTGGAAATAATTTTAATGAACTGCTTTGAAGGAAAAAAAAACCTCATTTTTTTAAAATAACTGTATTTACTATTTTATAATATAATATATTATATAATAATATCTTAAAAATAAGTGTATATATATTTTATATATAATACTATATTTTTAAAATCACTGCTATTTTATAATACAATATACTATATAATAATAAATATCTTATATATAATATAAAATAAAAAATCTGATAAGATTTACTATTTATAGGCTGGGCGGTGGTGGTGCAAGTTTTTAATCCCAGCACTCGGGAGGCAGAGGCAGGCAGATCTCTGTGAGTTCGAGGCCAGCCTGGTCTACAGAGCGAGCTCCAGGACAGGCACCAAAACTAC